AAAAAAAAAAAAAAAAAAAAGAAGGGGCACCCACAAGCACAGGCATGCTCGCTCTCCCGGTCAAAACTGCTTTATTTTATTTTATTTTATTTTATTTTATTTTATTTTAGTTTTGTTCTTACACAAAATTGCTGAGTTGCTGTGGCGTTATGGTACATAGCCAAAGCTGATGAAAAAAGCTTTATGGTATTTGTATGGGTCACCTTTTGTTTTGGTTGTCTGAACGGCATCGTTTAGGAGTTGTCAAATAACCAAGACTAGGCTGTCTACATGACTGCTAGTAGATACCTATAAATCTCTCTCTCTCTCTCTCTCTCTCTATTCTTATTAATTTGTGTGTGTGTGTGTGTGTTTGTACGTCTCTCGTGAATTGACCACAGAGACTGTGTGTGTCTGTGAGCGCAACTTCTTGGAGAAATCTATGTAAAGATTTTGTTTCTCTGTACTGCTATCCCACACACACAAAAATACAAAACATTTAATTCAAATAAATAAATAAATATGTGTTCAAAAAAAAAATAAAAACAGTGAAAATAAAATATTAGTATATATATTAGTTAAGCTTGCATTGTTGACTTCTTGTTAAAAATAAAACAATTAATAATGCAACTCAAAGTAGTTAGTGAGGAATGGCCTATTTAATTACTAATTAATTAGAGAAATGGTACGATCTCGTTATGAAACCATTTCGACGGTTACATGATTATCTCATGATTACAAATTTCGACAGAATGATTCGTAAAGGGACTGTAGCATCTCACTTAATTATAAGTAGGTTGATTAAGAAGAACGAATTTATTTGTCGAGCACAACAACAAAATTTCGCGCATGTATAAATGTTTTTTTTTTTTTAATTTTTTTTTTTCAAAAGAAAAAAAAGGGACTGAGAGAGAAAAGGAAAAGATGAGGAGGCACAGAAGAAGGTGGAGCGTTGTGGTGATGAGAAATCAAAAAGGAAAAAAAAAAAAAATTGGAGAAAATAAAAGAAAATAATGTCTTTCTCAAGCGCAGATCCCAATGGAATGCAGTGAGGATACCCAGCATTGCTTGCTGGAACTCATTCTTTTTGTTTAGTTTAAAGGGCTTTGCTTTCATCTCTTTACAAATCTTTTTAAGAGAGAGAAAGAGAGAAAGAGAGAGGGAGAATTAAATAAAAAAAAACAAGAAACTAAAATGAAAAAGATAAAAAGTGATTGACCATTGATTTGTAATATAGAGAGTTGTTACAGTTCCGTTACGTAACCATTACGTCGGGATTTATAACTTTTAGATCATCATGTAATTGTGATGAATAGTTGAATAAACGATTACAAACTCTGACTGAATGGCTCCGTAACTAGAACGTAGAATCTCACTGTAATATATATATATACAGCAAAACAAGAGGGTATGATATCTAAAGCGCCATATCTTGGCTTAGATTTCATTCTCCTACTTAAAGCCCTGCAGCTACAAAACAAAATATCCATCCAAATTATTAAAACCCCAAAAGGAAATAAAAAAATTTAAAATAAACCCCACAGTCGTTTCAAATATATATAGGAGAGATGATTATTAGTTTATTTGTTTCCAATGATTGACCAACAAAACCCCCCCCAAAAAAAACAAAAATAAAAAAAAAAACAATTGCCACAAATCTCTCTCTCTCTCTCTCTCTCTCTCTCTCTCTCTCTCTCTCTCTCTCTCTCTCTCTCTCTCTCTCTCTCTCTCTCTCTCTTTTATATAAAGAAAGCTCATCTCATTTCATCGAGAGAGAAAAAGAAAACGTAGCTAAAAACAATGAAGCCGATAAACAGTGAAACTAACAACAATAGTAACAACTGGTTGGGGTTTTCTCTCTCTGCTCCGACCACTATGGACGGCGGCGGCGGCTCAGCCGATCACCACCAGGCCCCTAACTGCTCCGACGCCGTCTCTAACGCCGTCCCTCTGAACTACCCTGCCGGGTTTACATACCCACAGGGAATCTACTACGGCGTCGACGGCGAGAATGCGGCCGCATTCTACTCCAATCTGACCGTCATGCCCCTCAAATCCGACGGCTCCCTCTGCTTGATGGAAGCCATCAACAGATCACAGCCTCAGGGTAAAAAAATATTTTTTTACTCATGTTTCGCTTTTACTGTGGTAATTTTGTTTCAACCGAGGTTCATTTTATTTTAATATAATATCAAAACTGTGAAGGGGTAATAGTAACCTCGGCGACACCGAAGCTGGAGGATTTCTTCGGTGGGGCCCACGGCCAGTACGAGGTCTGCGACCGGGCCATGGCCCTCAGCCTCGACAGCATGTACTACCACCACCACAACCAGGTCGCCGCCGACTACCCCAACTTTCCGGCGATGTACCACCACCAGCCGGCGGACGAGGCGCCGCCCAAGGATCGCGGAGGCCTCCACCCGCCGCCGGAGGTGAAGGGCTGGGCTGCCGGGAACTACCAGAGCGGCGGCGTGCTGGAGCAGAAGGGCTGCGCGGATGATGTCGGCGGCGGGGGAGATAACGGGGCGGTTGGCGGGTATGGTGACCTGCAGTCGCTGAGCCTGTCGATGAGCCCCGGTTCGCAGTCGAGCTGCGTGACCGGTTCGCAGAGCCACGTGGTCCAGCCGGCGGTTGTTGACTGCATGGGGCTGGAGAACAAGAAGAGGGGACCGGAGAAGGTTGACCAGAAACAGATTGTTCACCGCAAGTCCATCGACACTTTCGGCCAGAGGACCTCTCAGTATAGAGGTGTTACCAGGTTATTATTTTAATTAATTCATTAATTACTCTTTTTTATTTAATAATAATTTAATCAATGTTAAAAAAAATAATAAAAAATAATTTATTAATATTTGAATGGGATTAAGCAGGCACAGGTGGACAGGGAGATACGAGGCACATCTATGGGACAACAGTTGCAAGAAAGAAGGTCAAAGCAGAAAGGGAAGGCAAGGTATCATCATTATTCAATTTCATTACAATTTTGTTAATTTATTTTCTTTTTTTTTTTCTTTTTATTTTTTTTAAAAAAATTACTAATTTTGTGGGTACATGTTATTCCTTTTTCTTGATCTTTGGTTGTTGCTGTGGGATGACATAAATGAAATGGGCACGCACCTTTTGCAGTTTACCTAGGTAAAAAAAAAAAAAAAACTCTTTTGTTTGGATTCTATTTTACCGTGAAATGCTATAGTCCCGTTACAGTTACGGCCCCGTCGGGTGTTTTAAGGGTTGGATCATTTATCTTTTACACTAACTACATGTGTACCGCAACGGGACTATAGCATTTTCCTTTTTTTTTACGTAAGCACTTTTTGAGTTAATTAATTAAATTTTAACAAGATTTACTAAAAAACGTTAGGGGGTTATGACATGGAGGAAAAGGCTGCAAGGGCTTACGACTGTGCAGCGCTCAAATACTGGGGACCTTCCACTCATATTAATTTTCCGGTATATATGTGGTTTTTTTTAGTTGTCGTTTTTATTCGCTTATCGAATCGTTTCATGTTTTGCTACGTGTTAATCATCATGTCAACTTTAAATTAAACAGCTCGATAATTATCAACAAGAACTCGAAGATATGAAGAACATGAGCAGACAAGAATATGTTGCTCATCTCAGAAGGTACGTACGTACAACTTTGTCTTTTTCGTTATTTTTTTGAAGTCATTTGCTTCTGAAAATTTCTGCTAATGTAATGCAGGAAGAGCAGTGGTTTCTCTAGGGGAGCTTCGATTTACAGAGGAGTCACAAGGTCTCAATATTCTTGCATGCTTTTCTATAATGTTATAATTAAAAATGCCATTTGGATGGCTTTGAGTTAGTTCGTTTTGTGTATTGTTCCTTAGCAGACATCATCAACATGGCCGTTGGCAAGCCCGTATTGGCCGTGTGGCCGGAAACAAGGATCTTTACCTCGGCACATTCAGTGAGTCTTGTCTGAAATTTCTGTATAGTTTTGTTTATTTGTTTATTTTTTATGTATAGGCACTTTTATAATTTTTCTGAAAATAATCTCAGGTACTCAAGAGGAAGCAGCCGAGGCCTACGACGTAGCAGCCATCAAATTCAGAGGGTCAAATGCTGTTACCAACTTTGACATATCACGTTATGACGTGGAGCGCATCATGGAGAGTAACGGGCTCCTCTCGGGCGAGATGGCCCGCCGGACTAAGGGCGTAATCGTCCCGTGCGGCGAGAACAATTCGCTCGGCAACAATTTCCCTAACATGGAACAAATGAAGGATGTCCCCAACTCGACGGACTGGACTATGGCCCTCTACGGCTCGGCCCATGAGAAACAGGGCCGGGGGGCTGAGGATTTCGACAAGGCCCACCAGGGCTTCCAGGGGAACTTCGGTCTCGAGGTGTTCGGGCCGGGCCAGCAGGAGATGTGTGGGCCCGGGAAGATGACGGGCCACGTGTCGACCAACTCTTCGCTTGTGACCAGCCTGAGCAGCTCGAGGGAGGGAAGCCCGGATAGGAATAATGTTGGGGGCCCAGTCCAGATGCAGTTTGGGCTGCCGGGCCCGCTCGCGTCGAAATTCTTCCCGTGCCCGTCGGGCAGCGAGGCGGGGCCCAATTGGATCCCGTCGGGCCACGTGAGGCCTCAGGTGCCTCTGTTTTCTGCATGGACCGACTCGTGATGAATGTATTTTACTATGTTATGTGTAGTTTTTTTTTCATGTGGGGAAGGAAAATTTTAATGTATGCTGCTGTAAGAGAATCATGGGTTGGTTTATTTGTTTGTTTTGGTGGGGGACTAGACTACTTGTGTCAAAAATTTCCTAGGTTTCTTAATGCAAA